ATTACAACACGTAGGTTGGTTGGGTAGGGCCCTTTTGTGTCTTGAATTCTTCAGGTGTTACGAATCCCGAAGCTCCAGGCCCGAGCCCCCGGCAGCAGGGATTCGAATTTTTCTTCCTCGGCGGCCATGGATCGTTCTCTGGCCGAGCTTCTCGGGGGTCATCAGAGGCTGGAATCTTGGCTTTCTTCTTCGGGCATACAGACAGTATGCGATATCCGCTGGTTCTGGCAAGATGTTAATCAGTGCCTGTGTGAATTGGAGGATCTTGAAGGTGCGTCCAGATCTGACATACTCTTCATGCAGGACCTATATCAGGTGTGTGCGGCTAGAGCTGACCTTGAGCGTAGCATTTCGGTCCGTGCTAGTGCAGCAGCTCGTGGTAGTGCTGACCGAGATGTCAGTCTGTGGAAGCCTTCCATTGCTGTCTGCCCGAACAAGCGCCAGAAGATCTTGATACCTTGGCGGCATTCGTCTCAGACCGTGCCAGTGACGTTGCAAGGGGGCCGAACAAGGCGACTCCACCTGCGACACAACAGAAGGTGAAGGAGCTATTCACTTTGGCAGCTACACACTTTCTGGATGTGTCTGCGCTGGGTATCGGGCCTGTCGACTGGGCGAATGAAGCTAGTATCGCTGCAGCTGAGGCGTTGGTCATGTCTTCGGCTAGCACGTGCAGCGCGGGCCACTTGGGACAAGTGTCAGCCAGCCTTCGTAGATGGATTCGAGCTGCCAATGAGAACCAATTTTCTTTGGCTACCCCCAGCCCTGCTCAGATTGCGACTTTCCTACGCCAAGTTTCCTTTGGGGGTCCAACTGCTGCTTCTGGGGTTTACAATGCGTTGGCATGGTGCAATAAATATTTTGGAGCGGCTTTTCCCTTGGATCATTCTTGACCCGGCCTTTCAAGTGCCATGCTTTAGGACACAAGAGTGCTCAAGCTCCGGAGCTCCAGCCCTGGGAACTCTTGAACTTGATTGCTGTGACGGCCTCCTTGACAGGAGTTGCTCAGACGGTTGGAGCCTTCATCTTGGCGAGCGCTGTGTCTTGAATCAGATTTCGGCATTTTCAGCGGTCCGTCCTGCTACGTGTGTACGTGTGCACTCGGGACCCCCCATGTGGCTTGAATTTCGCTGTGCGATGGGCAAGTCGCGGGTCAAGGGCACCCGGCCGGCTCATGATTGGGCATTGCCAGATGTTCAGCTTTTAGGGTTTAGTTTGTGTGAGTGCTGCCCTAAAGGCGTCTGAGCTGTTACAGATTTCTGACACTACAGCATTTTGCAAGCGGCCTATGTCCCGCCAGCAGTTTCTGCAGTGTTTTCGTGGCTTCCTGTGCCGTGCCCTGGTCCCGCCTGACCAGGCATCTGCTGCAGGCTATAACCGCCTCCGACGTTGCTTTGATGAGGCCGAGGCCCAGGCCATCGGCTCTTGGACGGAGCTTCCTTCAGGCAGTGGTCAGCAGCAGGCCAAGCGTTCGCAGCTCATTTCTCGTCATTATACAGGGGGCAAAGTTCATATAAGTTGGATGACCAAGCGTAAGGTGTGCGATGCAATCTTAAATTCAAGACCGGCTCATGGCCACGCGCTGAGGGCCAGAACCTACTCAAGCCGGGGTGCCTGCTTTGGCACCCGATTGCAGCTGTGGCCTCCAGTTCCGCTGTTGCTGTGCAGGAGCCCTCGCTCTCAGTGCTCCTCGACGAAGGCGACTCTTCTTCGGTCTGCGGCTAGCAGCGGGATTGCTGATGATTCCACAGCTGTGGACTGGATTTTGCAGGGCTCCAAGCGCCATATTGTTAGAGAGTGTGACGCCGGGGGACGCCCGGGACAGCGCTTTCCCTCAGGATCTTGCCTCCAAAGGCTCAGGCATCGACAAGCTGTCTGCCGCTCTTTGGTGTTCCAAGTGCCTTGGCCGTATGCCTGGGCCGCAAGCTAAGCACATTCGCACCCAGCTCGAGTGAAAATTGTGTGCCATGTCTGCATGCACCATGTTCCTCGTGCTGTGACCTCGGCATGCTCCTGAGTGTACACGAGCTGCACAATTCGTGTTGTTCAGTTTTATGCTTCTGAGCTAGGGGCGAGGATACCTCCATTCAGGTGTGGCGCCATGGATCCGGATGCTATGACAACTGACCAGCTTCGGCGGTGGGCTGAGGCTATGAGTACGGTCGGTTTGCAACAGCTGATTCAAGTGGCCCGTGAAGAACTCCAAGCGAGGGCCGACAATGCACCTCACTCCTGGAATGCACCTGGCCAGATCGTTGCTTGCTTGCTTCGCAAAGCTCCTCATCGACTTCCGGACGTGCTGACCAAGGTGCTCCGCGGACATCATTCCCGCCTACATCGCCATCCCCGGTTCCTACTGAACGTGTCAAGTGCCAGATTTAGGTGTGGAAACCCGGCGTGCCATAGGCGCTGCAAACGGGCTGGTAATCACCGTAATCACTTTTGTCGCCCTTGTCACGATGCGGGGTGGGGCTAGGCATTTGATTCGGCTGTGTCCAGCTTGCTGACCAGTGGATCTTCTGTGTCAGCCAACCTGGAGCGCATCGGGCATTATGAAAGTTGCTCTCTACTTGTGCATGCGCTGTGCTTTGCTTGTACGGCACGCCAGCCAGCCAAGCTGCAATCAAAGTGAGCACTTCTGCCAGCCAAGTTACAATCAATGCTGCCGAGCCCTTTTGCTCTAGGCGGGTTTGGTTTCTTTGGTGCGTGGCTGCTGTTCCTGAGCTTAAGGAATCGAGGCTTATCCTGGCTCGCTTCAAGAGCGCTTACAGGGCGGGTCTGGAGGCTTTGTTTGGCTTTCACCAAGCAGGTGAACCTTAGCACTTCAGAGGAGTTGGAGCTGCCTATCCCAGATAGCCGTCTAGGGCAGCTTCAGAGGGATTGGGATGCAACCTACGGTCTGACATTGGATGCACACTTGGAACCGGCTGACAGTTTGCGTGGCAGGATCTGGCATGAGTTCTCCAAGCGTACATTGTCAGTAATTGAGGTGAATCGCGTTAAGAGTTTGCTGGCCCAGAGCTCGCCGTCGGTCAGCGAGACGGTCAAGTTGCAGGACACGTCGCGGGGTGCTCTTAGTCTGTCTTCTGCGAGGGATCCTGAGACTCCTGTGCGAGATGTTGTCAGTTATTATTTTGGCCTTCGTATCCTCATCAACGCTAGGTCGTTTTGTGGGAATTTTGTTGCGAAGGGCCCTGATGGACGTGAGGCTCGTTTCTTCTCGCTTTCCGAGGGCCTGGATTACGCAGACTCCTGTCTCAGAGATGCTATGCAGTATGGGCAGGGCTCTGTTACATGGCTGCACCACAACGACATGCTCACCCGTGGCAAGATGGCCTCCAAGATCAGACGCGGGGCTTTGGCTGGTCAGGTGCTCAAGGAGGTGGAGTGGAGGCAGTGGAGGGCCCCCAACCGCGAGGTTGATTCGGTGACACCACCGCCTCCACCCAAAGGTACGAGGCTCCAGACTGTCACGATGCTCAAAGGAGGCCACAAGATCTGCAAAGCTTTTAATGAACACAGGGGATGCCGAGACCGCAAGTGCCATCTGGTACATGTGTGCGATGTCAAGGGCTGTGGGTCCAAGGATCACAATCGTTTGAATCACCTGGAGCAAGCCTGACTATCAACTTCGGGGCCTGTGGCTGCTTCAGCATCGGGGTTGCCGGCCCGCCAACGTTCCTTGGCTGTGGAAGCTGAGGTCTGTGCTTTTTCCAACGACTCGTCAGATGCCATTGACAAGCTGCCGGCACCTGCTGCTCGTATGGTCCATGCCCCGATCCTTGATACTCCCCCGAGGGTTTCCTCTGCTGTGCAAGCGCAGGACAGCTCGGAGGATGGCAATCACTTGTTTTCCACTGCGTCAGACAGCCCGCTTCATGCTGAGGATTTGGCATCCTCAGCTCTTGACCGGTGCGATTTTTCTGAAGAAACATGCATTCAGATTTTGCAAGCAACGTTTCAGCTGCCAGTCATGAACCGCCATGGCGGCACGCTTGGACATGCTCGTTTCGCGGACTACTTTTGTGTTGGCCTTTTCCGTAATCGCTCTGTATGGGGACTCACGTCTTGGTGCAATAAAGTCCCGAAGCCGGTGTGCTACTTGAATGCGTTCCTGTCAGCCCTGGCTCCTGAAGCCGAGTGGTTTGCATTGGCCATTTCAGCCGATGTCCCAACTGAGGTTCACAGAGACCGAAAGAATGAGCCTACTCTTGTATCTTTGGGACAAGACAGCGGTGGGGGCCTTTGGCTGGCTGACAAGGTTGGCGAAGTTTGCCGTGACAATCCTGACACACGTTAGCCTATGTGGGGTTCGGTCCATGACTCACATATGAAGCCGGTGCAGTTTGCGCTCTCGTCATGGCATGCCAGCTTCCCGTGGACTGGGTTTAGGTGGGTTCTTACGGGTTTTACGCCTTCGGGGGCTTCTTCACACTGCAGTGCTGCCAGTCGTGACAACTCGTTGGGTTTCCCACTTGGTAGTCCCGCGCCTAGACGCGTCCAGTGCCGAGGGGATGTCGGGCCTTCCTCTCAGGCGAGGCTTGTGACTGCTCATCTTCAGGACTTCAGTCTCTTGTAACACAGCTTCTGGCCGCTCGTCCTGTCACATGGCGGGGCAGCGGTGAACTGTTGCAGGTACCCTGGAGTCGTCCGCTCAAGGGCATGTGGTTGGTTCTCGATTTGTGGGCTGGGATCAGCGGCCTGTGCATTGCTTTATTGGCATTGGGATTCCAGTTTGGGTTCCAGTTTTACGCTTTGGCAGCTGAGAAGGACCCGGTAGCCAGGCAGTGCGCCAGCTCGATGATGCCTAGTCTGGCTCATGTCGACGAAGTGGCTCAGGTTTCTGTGGAGCTCCTGCTAAGCGCAAGATTCGTGGCATCATAGTGATAGTGCCTTGAACCGCAAGCGCACCGGCCTCGATGATGATAGATCTCTTCAGCCAGCATGCGTTTCTGGAAAACGTTGCATCATCTCCGCCTCAGGTCTTGGCACGCTACGCAATGGCTGTGCCTCCTATCTGGATGGATGCTGCATCCTCTAGCAAAAAGGGCCTTCTGGGTTTCCGACCGCAAAGGGGGCCTCTCACCCTCTCACCGGAACATGTTCCCCCGGACCAGTGGTCCTGGGCTCCTTGTGAGGGGCCGTTCGCAGAGAAGCTGCAGTATACTGGATCCAAGCCTGTGCCGCAAAGGGTTTTCTTTGAACAGGGTTTCAATCCCTTTGGAATCCTAAGGATGTTCTTAGGAATCGGGCCAGGCCTTTCTTCGTCTTCAGTCGTGAGTTCTTCCACCCGTGTGACCATGTTCAGGGCACCTCACCGGCTGCAATTGATCGCTTCATGTCTGATGCGCGTCGATTCCCTGCACCTGCGTATGAGGAACACAGTCTTGTTTGGAGAAATGATGACTGGCGAGTGCCATCACCTGCTGAGCGGTCTATGATGATGGGACTTCCTGTTTCCGCCACTGCCAGTGTCAGCGATACCGAGCCCCGACGCGCTCAGGTTCGCAACTCCTTGATCGGCAATGGCTTTCATTTGCCTTGCGTCATGTGCCTCATGTGCATGCTGATTGCAGTTTGCGAGGCCAAGCCTGTAGTTTCTCGGTTTTGCCCCAGCGACCAACTTGCCAGCAAAGTGCAGCGCAGCTTGTGGGAGCCGGGTTTTCTTGAGACCTTTCCGTTGCGCTTACAGTTTGATCGCGTGTACATTCCGGAGTCGGTTTGGACGAAAGTCTCCCGCAATCTCACTCAGTGCAATCTTTGGCTGCCTCAGGCGTTCTTCGCTTTTCAACGAGGCCGAGGTAAGCCTTGGGAGGTGTTGCCTCCTGTGCCACTTCGGGCACGCGACCGTGCGCAGATTTTTGCAGGCAACTCAGGGCAAAGATATGCTTCGGATACCAGTAAGGGCTTGGATCACCTCCTGAAGCCGGGGCTGGGCAAGGACAAGGAGGGCCACATGGCCCAGGCCATGGAATTGCAGTCGTCATCTGCCGCGCAATCGTGGCCTGAGGATGATGTTGCTTTTCTTGCTGAATCCATACGGGTTTGGGGCGCAGACCTGCCTGTACTTGCACAAAAGCAACGCAACATCCTTAAGACCCTTGCCCGTGCCGTCGCGCCTCTTCAGGATGCATTGGCCAAACAGTGCTGTGTTTCTGCTACTAAGGTGGCCGGGACTAAAAATGCTGCTTTCATTGCCATCCTGACTGCCTTGTTGAGATGGCCGGACTTGGAGCAAGCACAATCTTTCATACTGGGTTTCCCTATTGTAGGCTCGGTTCCTGCTTCGGGTGTCTTTAGGACCCTAGCTGAACCCCTCGACGACGAAGGACCCGACGACTGGCTCCAGCGTGAAGGTCGTGCTGCAGGGACTCTGATGTTATTCTCCAAGTCACAGAAGATGAGATCCAGAAAGGCTTTTGCAGTCCTCTCATGTCCAGGGGGGAGGTGGGCATGAGATTTGGTGTGGGCCATGGCGCCCGCTCTTCGTCATCACTCAGCCGGATGGCAAGCAGCGAACATACAGAAAGTCAATGTTTGCCAGCTGTGCTAGAGATGTTTTCCAGGCCGTGTTCTCCCCCTGCCAGGATACATGCTCGCCGGCCTGCGATTGGCTCTGCTTGAGACTTGGCACCGACGATTACCGGATGCTTATAGGGGCCACCCAGTTGATGAGCAGCACCTCCGCTATAGTGTCGTGGCCATCTGGGTGCCGAAAGAAGGCTGGAAGTTTACCATCTTGTGGGGCTTAGCCTACGGCCTGGAGGCTGCTGTTGTGGCTTTCAACCGGATGCCCATTTTGGGCATCGCTGCGTGCCGCCGCATGGTTTCTTCTGCAGCTGCTGCTTACTTTGATGATGAGTTGTCTCTTGAGTTCATTCGAGATACCGATGTTTCCCAGTCAGGCTTACACTTGGTTTTCGGATTAATGGGCAGCCCGCCCCAAGCTCAGAAACGTTTTTGGGCCGCTGCCGATCGTTGCTATTTGGGCGCATCCGTTCACGTTGGCTTGGCTCACAGCCATGGCATCGTTCGAGTGCAACCCAAAGCATCTTCCATTTACAAGGTCCGCGACAAGATTGACCGGGCCTTGGCCATGCGACAGTTGGCCCGTGACGACGCTGGCAAGCTGAGAGGTGACATTCAGTGGCTCTTCGCTTGCTGCACAGGCTCTGCTGCCAAGTTTGCGGGCCCGCTGCTTCACAGATGCCAGTATGGCGATGATCCTTCCCTTGGCGAAAGGGACTTGCTGGTGCTTCCAGCCTTGCGGGCCTTGGCCTGCCAAGCGCCTCCTCGGGATATCAATTTCTGGGCAAGCCACTCACCCTGCACGCTCATCTACTCTGATGCCTCCTTCGAGCAGAATCAGTTAAGACTTGGCTGGGTAATTTTTGCACCGCCGCCTCTGCGACCACATGGTGGCAACTGCTCCGTGCCCCAGGCTGTTTTGCAGGAGTGGACCCCGCGAAAACAGCAGATCTTTCCTGGCGAGGCGCTTTGCTTGTTGGTTCTTCCGCTTCTGTACCCGGACCTCTTTAGGGGTCAGGATACACTGTGGTTCATAGACAACCAGGTGGCAGTGGCGGCTGCTGTTAAGGCCTCGTCTTCTGAGGAGGATGTCTTCGAGATTGCCCACATGTCGAGTGTGCTCCGTGGCAGGCTGGCTAACAGACGCTGGTTTGAATGGGTGAACTCAGACTCCAATCCCAGCGACGGCCTTTTTAGAGAAGGCGTTGAGGACTGCTGGTCGCAAAGGCCGTGTACAGATCCCAGATCCGCAGCGATCTTTTGAGAGCATGAAACAGTGGGTGTGGGAACTGTGGGGTTGCTGTCTTCGGAACCTCGTTCGGTGCCCGAGTAGTGCTCTGCACTTCAGGTGATTGTATTCTTACTCCAACTGACTTACCCAATGCCTTAGACATTGATTGTACACTGTTCCATTCTCTCCAACACTCTGAATAATTCTTGATTACAAAACGTAGGTTGGTTAGGGCCCTTTCGTGTCTTGAATTCTTCAGGTGTTACGAATCCCGAACAGGGATTCGAATTTTTCCCCTCCCGCCCAGCCCTTCTGACCTCCGCGGTTGCGAGGGTTTGGGCCTCTAACACAACTTTGTTGCTGTGGAGGGTGTGCCGACGCCTCATCTCCCATTCGGGGGATGTTAGGTCGTTTGGTCTTGTGTAGGGGCTTACCCCACCTGACTTACCCAATGTCTTAGACATTGTACACTGTTCCATTCTCTCCAACACTCTGAATAATTCTAACCAAAATCGCATGTTCTCGACGGCCTTATGCTGGACCCAGTCTGCATGGGATGCAGCCATCATTTCAAAATGTAGCACTTGGGCGTTTTCATCCTTCCCTAAATCGCGCTTTCGCCACAGTGCCGCGTGCATCTTGGGGTGCAAGCAATCGTGCTCTGCCATACTGCGCTAGGCTGCCCGAACCACGCTGCAGCGCGTGCACCGAACACCCCCGACCCTTGCGCATCTATCTTGCTTGCCTTGGTTGCCCGGATCGCAACGGTTCGCATGCCTGTTCCACTTTGTTCGTGCTGCTGCCGTTCGCTGCTGATGCAAACAGCCGTCGCTGACGTCAGGTGATTCCGAGGCTGTGCATCTGTGAGAAGGCCGCAGCATGCGGCCCTTCACACCCGTCAGCGCTGTCTCGAAATCATAAATCATGAGCTGGCCGCAGTGCATTCGCGTTTTGCTGTTTTCGCTTTCACTGTGGGTGTCGCTACTGCTAGCTTCGTCGCTCTGCCACCACAGTCCCGTGCGAACTCTCGCCTCAGCGCTGTGCGCAGTTTGCGGTGCAAGTCGTGCTGTCGCCATGGCGTTGTTCAGACTTAGGATTTCAAGCCGCCCGAGAGCTCTCGATCCTTTGTTGCGTGATGCAAAGGACGCTGCAGAATGATATTGGCAAGCTTGCAGCTGGCAGCTCAGACAGGGATGCTTCTGGGAAGGGACGTGGGCACGTGTTGTCGTCGTGACGGTTTCCAAGGTGCTCACGTGCGAGTTGCAGATCTCTAAGCTGTGCAAGCTTAGAGTTTGCTTGCCTTCGTCGATGATGCTGCATGTCATAGTGTCCGGTTTGCCGGCCACATCTGGCCGCAGAGCTGCCAATTCAACGGCCTGCGAGCCTGTTCATGCATGGACCAGCGCCAGAATTTCAGGCGAACAACAGTTCGCATTGCAGCTGCAGCTACCGATTGCCCGGTTGCCTGGACATTCTTTTCGTTTCATTGGTGTCTGTGAACTTACCGGTCTTTCTGTTGGAGCTCAGGTGCGAGCTTGGACAAAGTCCGCGTTTCGATTTCTTGTAATGAGGCACTTGGAATCGATCCGATGTTCAGCTTTCTTGTCTGCAAACTCCGCACGGCAGGCAAGAACCAGTCCTGCATGCATGTCGGACCGCATAGAAGTGGAAGCATATGTCATGTCGAAGATGTGCCGTGTGATGCATCAACATGGCTCGTGTAAGCGTTTCCTTGCCCTGCGCATCGGAACATGTCGGCAAATCAATCGGCTTTCCGATGCACGTCAACGGATGTTACCATGGCATACCATGACAGGATTTCTGCGTCGGCGTATCCTTACATGCTTCGATGATGTATGCCAAGTCTATCTCATGTCGTCGTGAGAAGACAATCGCCGCGCAGAGTCTCATTCAGAGTGGAGCCGTGGTCTCGCGCACCAGCGATCTATGGTCGTGTACGCTCGCACTGCAGGACGGAACTTTTCTGGTGTACACCATGCCAGATGCCGCTGGCACGCTCGGTTCTCGCTGCGGTCTCCTCGGTTTCGGTCCCTGCCTGGACAGGTAGGCAGAGGTGAAGAATCTCGACGCATCATGCGGGAATGCCCTCATGTTTGCCGCGGCTGCGGGCTCGAAAGTACATCATGTAACCATTCGTGGAGTCAAAGGCATTCGCTGGGTCACAAGCACCCTGGGCATCTTCCTGCGGTCCTATGTCAGCGAGGCATCTACGCAATGAGAACCTGGCACCTGGTGTGCCCTCAAGCTGCCTGCATGCAACGTCTGGCTCATCTTGGGAGCAGGACGTGCACGGTTTCTGGAGCCGGGCAGCTAGAGCATGCGAGCTCCATCAGAAGCTTTTGAGACAAGATCGAGCCAAGTCTGCCCATTGTGCGTGCGCAAAAACTGAGTCAGTCCAAAAGGCACTACAAGACCTTGAGATGCTTTTTGTGGCAATGGGCCGGCAGTACGATGACCTCCAAGAGGTGGCATCGCGACACCGACACCAGGCAGCCAGGACGGGATTGTCGCGGGCCATCTAGGTGTATTTAAATTTAGAATTCAGTAAACAGCATGAAACAGCGTGGAGGACCGGTCTTGCAACAGAAGAACATGCGGAATGGACGGATCGAGAGGCTGCGCATCAGCGACTATCTGAGCAAGAAGCCACATCGCGACATCTTCGGGTCGAGCTTGCTGAGGCACTGCACCAGGAACGGGCAGCACAAGAGGCTGGTCTACGGCTACTGGCAGATGCACAGGTTCACGAGCTGGAGCTGCGTGAGCTGCGGCTGCAACTTGCGGCGAGCGAACATCGTAACTCGCAGCTTTCGCGTTCACTCGCTCGCTGAAGAAAACAGCTGTCAAGACGGCACGTCGTGGTGGCGCACTGTGAACCCCCCCCCCCCCCC